GTAGGTTTATAACAAGAAATTCATATAACAAGATGAATTATTCGGAAAATCGCTCTATATCCAGTAATACGGCACACATCAATGAATGAATTATAGTGAAACATTCTATAATTGTTAATCTCTTTAGAAAAAGTGCTGTTTAGAAATTAATCATGACAAATATATTTAAGATACTGTACTCCTTTTTTTGCCGTCTCTCCTACTAGGATTGGTAAGATGACGCACTGTGATAAGTTGCATATGGAAAAATCAATGCTAGTAACAAGTTAAAATCGTACAGTAGACCCTCCTATAACGCTTAGATACGTTCCACGTTAATCGAATTTTACGTTGTAGGAATCATTAAATACATGAGCCAATCGCAGCCCGACAGGTGTGAAGTTTACGGACTAAGGCTGTTTGAAAGGTTTTCTTCTATAAAATTAACCGATTCTAGACTAATTCCACTCAGCATTTCCAAAACACGTATAATTTTTTGGGAATAATCTGTATAAACTATGCTACAAACAAAAAATTATAGGATTACTTACCGAGTGTGTACCGTTCGACTACGCCGTTGCTTAAAGCTGGTTTTCATCGCGGAACAGCACATTAAACGACGGCCGCGATTTCTAATAACGAATTTTTCGCATAAAAATAACTTGACCTTTGGAGACATCATTAATATAAATAATTTTTATGGCCGTTGAATAAGAAGTGTTTCTTTCACAAGAAATGTATAAAATTAGTGCTGTATTAGACTTACGGTACCTAATTTACATACTGTACAGACGATAATAAACTCAACTTACTAGCCTAAAATCTCCGTAGCGTGTTGCCAGGCGGCAGAAAGCATATATATAATTATAATAAAGTTACAATAAATTAAGTTAATATATAATTATATATACCGTACCTAATTTATATATAATTAATATATAATACTGTACAGACGATAGCAAACTCAATTTAGCCGCCTAAACAATCCGTAGCGTGGCGCTGGACGGCGGAAAGTAGTTCGGCTGGTCATCCACTATTGGTCCAGATTTTATCAATCTTGTCGCAACACGAGTCAGCGACGACGTTTTAGGAGTTCCTTTATACGAATATTGCTACAACTTTTTCGCTACGTTATAGGAATTTCCGTTATAGGAGCCCACGTTATAGGGGGGTCGACTGTATATGATATGGTAGAATAAATAACATTTTATCAATTTTATATTTTTTCATCAGTTTTAAAGATATCGCACCAAAAGAGACAATATTAAGTCTGCAGAAAACAAAAAACATTTTAATCTAAACGAAAACATATTCAATATTTACACGTGTAATACAATAAAATAATAGTGTATCTTGTAAATAAAAAACACGCTATTAGAACTATAGGCCTATAGGAATATATACTTTCCTTATATTAAAATACATATGATATTAGTTCCATTTCTCATCCCTTCATAATAAATCATCTTTCCTAAATAGTGAGATGAGACAGGCACCTTAACTTTTTGGTACAAATATGGTGAAACAATATAAAATTTATTATACAACTTGGCTATGATCTTAACTTCATCTTTCATCAACATTTTATTATTATCTGTTTTATAAATACGCTTATCGAAAATATTACAACGACTACATAAAAATTCAGATACAGGCAGATTAGCCATCAAAGTAACTCCTTTCTAAACTTACGAGCCCATCAGTGGCCGAGTGAATAACACCACCGAAAACTGGTAAGGAGGGATTCGTGGATTCGCTCCTCGTAAACAGGCTGGCCATGTGGAGTTTTTCGGGTTTTATTCACGTTTTTAACACGTAAATTGGGACCAGTTTCCCATATAAAATTTTCCCGGTGGGCATCCTATTCGGCAGATCGCCCACGTGTCGCGTTACCATAAAGAAATAAACCAAACCTTAAACAAATTTTCAAATTATAGCCTATATATTATTTTATATTTAAAAATAAATTTAATGAAACTTAAAACAAACATTTTGAAATTGTAATTAAATCTACCAAATTAAAATGAAGTAGAAATATTCGTAAAAATCAAGTCTGAAAAATTTTTTAATGAAATTTTAAAAAAATTTATCAGATAATCTATTTCAAGGTAAATTTAAGGTATAATGAAAATATAATTAGCCTTATAGAATGTATAAAATGTTTTTTTCCTATAAAATTTCCTGTTCAATCTTCGTCAGATTCTTCTCTAAGCATATTAAAAATATAATGCGGTGATTGATGACTGCAAAATCTTTGCTGTAGAATTTAAAGAATTCTGTTAAATTAAATATGTATAATTTACACGTGTATAAATTTTTTATGAATAAAATTATTCAAATTTTTAAAGTTTACTGTAAGTTTTTTATTTAATATTAAAATTACTCGTGTTTACAGCCTTGCAAACAAAAACAAAATTGTGTCATTGTAGTGAATAGAAAAAAATTCTTAACAAAGAATTTTTTTGTATTCACTGTAAATTCTATTCTTAACAAAAAATTCTTAACAAAGAATTTTTTCTGCCTTGTTTACTTTAAAAATTGATCATATTTAATGGAATTCATTTAAAAATTATTTTTAAAAAAGTAAATTATTACTTTAAATGTGATAATGAAAAGTTTTGAAACCCATTATATTGTAGGATTGCAGAAAAGGTCAGATTTTCTTGTTACCGTAGAATTCGATACGATATTCACTAGGTCCCAAGTGCATAGGACCGTTTGAGAGCTGCAGTGATTTTTATCACAATTGCAGTCAAATCCAATTTTTGTATTTATAGTTTTTCCATTTGTGACAGGGTCGCGACATCTTTGTAAGTGATGAGAACTCTCATAAGCAACAGAACCATACAAAAATCTCAATTTGGGCGCTTGGAACTTTTTGATTTTTTTTACGCTCCACGAAAGTAAAAACAAAAAAAAAAAGAAATACTAAAATATTATTTAAGAAGTAATTTAATAAAGAAAAATTTCATTACGTACATTTAATTTTTTCCCTGCGTTCAAAAACACAGTATATTCTATGCTTTTGTTACTTAAAAATGTATATAGTGAGAAATATATTAATAGGATTAAGTCATTAAATTGAATTTAAAATTTTTATTTTCACGGCAAAAATTACTTTGTATAAAATAGATTTATTGGATGACAGAAAGTGAGAAATTTTATAATAATTAACAATATAGAGATTTTAAAAAAACTAGCATAACAAAAATGACTCCACCACAATTCTGAATATTTTTTCCGGAAAAGTTACGCAAAGTCACAGGTTGGTGGATTTTTTAATTAATTAAATTAAAATTTTAATTTCTTAACCGAACATTATAAAGTGCATTTAAACAAATCTTACATGCGTATTACTCATATAAGCTATATGTAACACACTGTATTTTCGCGGAATGACTGGCAAATAACACCTTTCTGTCATATTTCACATAAAGCCGATTTTAATGGGTGTAGTTCCCGGGAAAGTAGAGGAATGGGGCCCACTTAAGATATTTTGCATATTATTAAAAAAAACTTAACAATATCATGAGAAGTTATTTTAATGATGAAAACAGTGTACTCTAAGAAATAAAGTGCATGTATCAAAGTATTTGTATCTCTCTATATTTTCTTAATTAAAAAAAAAAAAAAAACATTCCACTGAGCCCCAGCCACGTGGAGTAATGGGAACCATCATATAAAAACATTGAAAAAACACTAAAACGTTAGAAATGTTTGTTCAAAAACTAAAAAACTTAAGTTTTTGCATATGATTTGTTAATTTTTTATATGTGTATCGTTTTAAAATAGTTTGTGTGTTTAATGATAAGTTCAAACACTTTAAATTAAAAACTTTGATTACAGTTTTTAATTTAAAGTGCTTGAACTTATTATTTAAAGTGCAAGAACTTGAAATTATTATTTAAATTACTTACTTAAATTATTATTTAAAGTGCAAGAACTTGAACTTAAAAACTTTGATTAAAGTTTTTAATTCATCGTTATCGTTTTGTTTAATGCACCTTCTAGAAAGGTGCATTAAACAAAACGATAACGATGCATGACTCACTTAAATCGGCATGACGGCATTCCTCTGGGATAAACCGACATGCTGGTATATCAGGGGTATACGGCAAGTATTTATTAACATAGGATAAGCATTTACGTATTTAAATATATATAAACATAGGACAGTTACAGGCAACGAATTTTTCAGCTCTATTATAATCTTAAGGAACGTCCGTTGTATATGGACTCCAGGAGTTAAGCGGTGCTTGCTTTAATTAAGTTCAATAATTAATTCAAATTCTTTGTTATCTGCCCTATTTTATTCACATTGGGTATTGTTTACGGATGAATCCTGCTTTTGTCTGCGGAAGAATGACGGCAGTATACGGATATGGTGTATCCCGGGGAAAGATACGTGCCAGTTCTTTTCGCCGAGCGTTTCCCCGGTCCCAAATCAAATATCACGCTTTGGGAAGCATCACGTTCAATCAGTAAACGTGATGCTTCCCAAAGCGTGATTTTGGGGCATATTTTCGGTACTCTGACAGCGGACCAGTATGTCACAAGAATTGTGGAGCCTGTGGTTCGGTCACTGATGCAGGCCTCACCCGACACGGCGTTCTAGCAAGATAATGCGCGACCGCACGTCGCACGGCAAACTCTCACCAGCCTGAACGAAATTTATATCCTTTCCTGGCCGGCAGCCTCGCCGTATCTCACTCCCATCTAACATCTGCGGGACTTCATCCGACGTGAGGTGCACCGGGGTCCACTGCCACATACCATAGACGACATGCGTGCCGCAGTGGATGCAGCTTGGCAAAGGATACCTCAGGAAATCATTAATCGCCTCATTGATAGTGAGAACCCGGAGTAAATAAAAGAAATTTTATTCAAAATATCGAAAGAACCCATTTCAAGAATAAAACTAAAAATGTTTTATTTAACTATATTTAATTGATAAATTTTGTTTTATATTTATTTAATCACACAAATATTATTCAATGTTTATTTAATTTATAGATGTAAATTTAAATACATAATCACGAAACACATAACTGTATATAAAAGAAGTTCAAGTTAGTTTCATCACTGAAACATTGCAAAATACAATTAAATACTCTTTCGCTTTTTTTATGTATTTGAAGTGTGCAATACTCCTTTATGATGTATTTCAAGTGTGCAATATTTCTTTATGATGTCGTGTTATTCAAATGTTGTAACGTTCAAGAAATGAAAATTATTCTTTAGGTTTTAACACATTATTTTTTATCTTCTTTATTTTCCTTCTAGGTTTCTTTACTTTCCGTTTAATTTCGGGTTTTCCTCCCTTCTTTCTTAAAGGATACTTTTTCATTAATAACACTATACTCGCTCTTTTATGTTGATTACTGTGATAACAACTTATGGCAACAACAATAACCAGTAGGAACGGTAGAGGTGTAAGATAATTCCAAGTGCTATACATCTTCCATATAGTTTTACGTATACAAGATCCATTTCTGTAAGGTAATATACGAGTAATAAGTAACATTTCTACTCTTTATAAAATTGTTAGCTTAAAATCGTTACGACACTTTCGTTACTGGGAAAAAATTAGAAACAGCAGCATCGAAAATCAATGAAGCACCCGAAATTTTTGTTACGAATTGTTTATATTGGAAACAAGAGAGAGAAGCCATTGGGAGAATGGAGATAAAGTTGAGTGGAAAACGAAATGCAATGGGATTGAGCGAAGGAAGCGAAACGATTAGGGTATTTTCAAAGAGGGCTATTCTCGCGAGGATAGTGGGTGAGCGAAGCGAGCTGGGTAAGGAAAATTACATTTTATTGTACAGATTCTAAACAAGAAATTGGTTTTTTACGATTTCTGTAATTAAAAATTTGTAGAGGATAAAATTAGTTCAGAATTAAAACTACAGATTAGAATCATTCAGTGCAAAAGTAGACCTAATAGTTTTGGGCGCCATATTTCTATATGCGCCATTGTACATTCATCAGTTGTAATCAGTTATTTATCAGTTTGTTTATTTTCGAACATTTTATTCAAATGGATAACGTCTTTGATCTAGTTTAGTATTGATATATCAGCAGATTTATGAATAATAATAGAATTTCTAAACGCGTCCTTAAACCCGAGTACACGAGTACCGGTATTCGTGGCAGGTATAATTTACAGGCGCGCCTGTCCGTTATACTTAAACGTGTGCATAAAAAGAAAAAAAAACGCGTGGAAAAGACAGAAAAAACTGATAGCTCTGTCATCCACGCGATCGGGTGTCTGGACAGGCGTGCCTGTAAAGGTAGCCAGTCCAGTCATTTAGCTATGTACAGTACATGATATTTGACAAGGCTACCTTCACAGGCAGCATTGTCAAATATCATGTAGTGTACATAGCTAAATGAATAATATACGTATTAAATACGCTTAATTTAAAATATTTGGAAATATTTATCAACATTTTTTAATTGTTTGTAAATTTTATTTCTAGAATTTATACTAAAAATTTAGTGTTAAAGATCGGAAGGTGAAAGAAAAAGGAAGCTGTATGTTATTTTTTCGAGTGCGTTTTTTTTAAACTCTTCCCGCCCTGTGGGCACTAAGAGGGCCTTTTACAAGAAGCCCATTCGGCCAGTCCCAAAATGGGGCGGCCGAGTGGTAAGGGACGGAAGCCGAAATATTCGGTCGGATCACTCCCCGGAAAATTCGATTCCGGGTTCCCCAGAGCAATAGGCTGCCACCTTGACCGCTCAGCATCCGGCCATTTTCCAGTGGGGAAGGACATAATGAATATTTTATTCAATATTAGCATTTGCAATTTTTTTTTTTTTTTTTATAAAACTCGTCTCTCTTTTTAAACTTAAGCTTTTAACCATTCCATACTAGTAAATAATATAAAAGTGTTTCAAATAAAATCTCAAAACAAATGGCGCTAGAGACAATTTTCTTATTTAAAGAGCTAGGAAAATTAGGCAACTCGTTGCTGGACTTTTTACGAATGATCCACCCAGTCACTCTGTGAGAATAAACTAAAATTTTATGATAACTTTTACTTATAATTGATATAATTTCGGATTATATATAAATTTACCATTTACTAAAACTCACCTGGAACATATCCCGTATCCATTATTACAAGAAGTTCCTGGAATTTTCAAATAAAGTTCGTCTTTAGATGGAAAAAATTGGAAGTCTTTTGCGCTTCGACATGTATTCGTTTCATTCATACAACAAATATGACATTCCGAATGACGAGTCTTACATTGGCAAGGCTTCATATTGTGATCGAGACAGACATTGCTTTTGCATTGTCCCTTGTGACAGGTTCGAGAATTTTGTCTGCAAGGCGTCCCGTCTGGTTGCATTAAACCAGAACAAAATGAAGAAATTCCATCGCAAAACGTAGTAGCGTTAAAGCATTCTATGTTGCTGAAACATGATTGCCTTTTGCTATATTCTATAATATCGCAATTGTCGTCACAGCATTGTCCTTTGCTAGGTGAACAAAGCACGCCATTTCTCAGTGTACACTGAGACGGATATTCATTAATTCTGCAACATTTGTGAACAGCTGTGCAATTTTCTGTTGAAGAATCACAATCACACAATTCTCCTTCTTCTACGATTCCATTTCCGCAATTCGATAACTCTCTTCTCAACAAACACGTTTTTATTCCTAATTAGAAAAATAATAATATAAAATTAAATTTATAGTGGACAAATATAAATAGATTTTAATTCATTTCATAAATAATATTAAACTATAAAACATTTAGAATATTTACTTGATTGCTGTATGAAGTTCTTTACAGTGGTTTTGCAACAGGTAGAAAATTTCCAATTGTTCTTGAAAGCACCATACGATATATTCGGATGCATGATGTAATTTCCATGTCTGGGATTTAAATCACCAGGACTACAAAATTGATTATCTTCAGGATCGTCTCGGCAGCCGAATGCATGTCCCAGTTGGTGTACTAAATTTAACGGTATTCTAAATCGAGGAATAATTTCTTTGTTTTCTAAATTGGTAACAAAACCAACGTTATTATTCTTTTCTAATGGTTTCGGTCCGGGACAGATTCCTCCAATCTTATTGATTTTGGAAACTGCGCATTGATTATTTGTCCAAAAATCTCTGTGAGTGAAGCAGATTAGCATGCAATATGGATGATGATACTTCGTCAAGCTTTGTAGAAATTCCTTATAATCTTTGGTTTCCATTCCGAATATATTACGGGAATGATTTTTGGTTTCGAATATGGTAATTTTCTGAACGTTGAATGCGATATCTTCTTTGTCACCGTCGAAATCAGTATTTCGGAATATGTAATCGGCGATCTTGATGTATAAAAGCATTTCTGCGATGATTTTGGCACGATTAAAGTCCATATATTCGGTATATGTATGATCTGCTACGAGTTCTAACGAGCATGTTTTTGTTTGTCTGAAAACAACAAAAGAAAATAAACAACGTAAAGAAATAATCTTCTGAAAACTGATCGTGAATTGCATCATAAACCAAAAAATGATCGAGTGACTCTCATGATTCACCATTGAAAGTGAATCATGAAGTGAAGGAGAGCCACAAAAGATGAACTTTTTCTATTTACTACATACTAATCAAAATTATAATTATTTATGTTTTTTAATTCTAAATTTACTTAGAATTAAAACAAACATTACATTAAAATCGATTACACGAGTAAGTAAATGTTAATTACTCATGTAATCGATTTTAATATACTGTACAACTAGTATATTTAATATAACAATATTATTGTTTAAATGTTAGTAATACTGTATTCTTATTTAAAGAGATATAAAAATTAATATAGATAATGTTTTAAGCTTGTTGTCCCTTTCAAAATTTAAGTAAAATATTATAAACTCACCTCATTCGTAAGTTGTTATTCAACAAATTGTAATTCTGTATTGTAGTATCGACATGATAATCTTCTCGGAAAGGTTTCATTTTAAGATGTCCTACATTTTTCCTTACTTCACACATTAACTTCCCATTCGGGTAAGATGGCCTTAATTCTATGTCTTTGACGTTATACATAATGGAAGTTTTATCGTCCTTTTTAAAAGAATATTCGTTTTTTGGCTCCAAGTAATACGTGCTAAAACCATGCTGAAAAATTCCTATAAATTGATGTTCGTAAAAATAACCAATAATTAATGATCTATTTTCATTCTTTAATACTCCTTGGTATATAGTCGATCCTGGTATTTCAGAAAGAGTATATGTTTTAATTTTATCGTCTACGTAGATAAATACATTAGCTGTTGCAAGAAACTTCGATTTATCCTTTTGTAGTCGAAAACGAAACTTATAGGATGTTCTCGGTACCATTATCAACAGACCTCCAGAAATCGGTTTGTATTCAATGACTTTCACGTTTCTTAACTGATAATTACTAGTTTCAATAGCAGATTCTTCATCAGTCACAATTTGATAAACGATCAGTATTAGAAATAAAATTAATAAATTTCGATGCATTATGGAAAAATTTCAACGAATCAAGCATATGTTCGAATTTGTTACCGCTTCGAATCAAATGTTTTTGAAAATAATTGGAATACGCAATTTAAAATTGAAAATCATTCAATTAATTAACAAAAAATTGCATTTATTTAAATTGTTTATCAAAATTTATTAACAGAGATTTATATGAAACGAAACTGTTAAATATAAAGCAAAATTTGTTTACTTTGAAGTGTTTAAAAATTACAAATATAGCAAAAGCAGATAAAAGGTTTCAATTCATTCTCATTTAATATTAAATTGCATGATGTCTTCTCTCTAAAGTTTACCCACCTGAGACCAAGTGAATAAATAAAACCCCTGGATACTGGTTTTAGATTTGCGCCTTCGAACCTCACCAAAGTGCAGTCCATGAAGACTTTTTCGGGGTTTTCAACACATCTCTAAAGCAAAATTTAAGTTGTATTGGTGAGCCTCTTTATTCCTAAATGTATCACACCGACATCAGACACAAAACCAGCCTCAAATATATCAATTTATTTTTAATAATATGCATTTCGAACCCATCTTCTATTAAAAATAGATATATTGAGACTGGTTTTGTGTGTGATGACGGTGTGATACGTCTAGAAATGACGAAGCAATTTAAACTAGTCAAGAAGGGTATTATAGTAAAATTTAAGTTATTACCTGCAGCAAAAATTTAAATCCATCTTAACACTTAAATAGGGATCGATATCCCATAGAAAGACCTCCAGAAGAGCAGACCATTTAGATTTTGTATTTGCATTTCCTTTTCACAAATTTACTTTGTACTGTTCATCTTGAAAGTATTCACTATGTATTAGAAATTATTCTATAGAGACCTTTCAGTTCATGAAATGCATAATTATAGATTGAAAGTTTTAGTTAATTTTCTATTGTTGCTTTTACATTTTAAAGTTTTATCAAAGCTGGTAGTAATTTTATAGAGAAAAAATAATTGAAAATAAATTAGTTTTAATGAAATGAATAAAATAACAGTTATAAATATGTACTATCGAGAGTCTCTGAGCCAAGTGAAAAACTCACTGACTATACAAAGGAATCAGAGCTGCTAATTTTCGAGGATTAATTTTTCCTTTCTAGAAGCCTAAATAATTCCTACTAAAGATAATTGTTTTCTTAGATATTGTGCAAAATTTCAAGTTTTTCTATAAAGGGGTTGCCGAAATATAAGCAATCGAAAAGTGCAAAAATTGCCAAAACAGATGTATTTTCTTCTTTTTTTCTTTATCCTGCATTTCTGACGCTCCCGGAGAAAAATAGTAGGTCTGTATAGCTCAAATTTTAAACTTAAGCATGGTTATGAGTGAGATGCTGACGTAACTTTAGGGGCGATAGGTCAAAGTTCAATTGGGTTCCCAGAGAGGTTATTTTATTTCTAATGCTTTATTTTACGCTGTAAAGAATAAACTTGCATGGAAACGAACGATTTTTATTTAAAATGTTATCCAGAATAATAAAAGGCTTATCTAACTTATGCAAATTAAAACTTTTTATAACGATGTTACTAACAACATAGGCCAATTAAAAGCGTTCGGTTTGTGGCCGTCGTTGACTCGACAAGACTGTACGTCATCGCCTTAGATCTTTGTATAATATCACAATAAGTAGCAAAAACAATTCAAATTGAAACAGAAACATCTGAGACGTAAACAAATTGAGCCAAGTAAAAATTATGACATTTAGATAACAGTCAAATTTTTTTCTTAGGAGTTTTTCTTTAGCAAAGGTAAGCTTGGCGCATGAAGCTTAACCCACAGGATTTTCATTATTATTTTCTATATTTCGCTTTAAAGCGCCAAAGCAAATTTAAATCGAAAGTTTATCTTTACCAAAGAAAAACTCTTAAGAAAAATTTTGATAGACATCTAAATTGTCATAATTTTTTACTTGGTGCAATTTTTTTACATTTTAGATGCTTTTATTTAGATATATTTATTCAAGTTTTCCTTTAATTTATTATATTTTACGAAAAAATATAAAATCAATTTCTAGAAAAAAATATGGAACACATTTGTGAAGACCACCACTTCCCCTCCAAAAATATATATATTTGTAAACTTATTTGTAATAATTTTTGTTTATTTACTTTATATCTTTTTTAATTATGTATTCGCGTGAACCTTAACTGTATCTTGAATAACAACCGAAGTTGTAGGAGGAAATTTGCCTATTTTACCAATCTAGGGATTCCCCTTTCCAAATTTTAATATCAACTTAAATTAATTAGAATAAAACGGTTTATTATCCAACTATCAGAAATCTCACAACATGCCAATGAATAGAGGAAGGAGCAATTAAATAATCAAAAATTATAAAGGATATATATAGAAATAGGGAACATCGCACCTCCCCCTTTGTTTTCGTCAATGTTTACATATTAAATGAAGAACTTAATCAAAGCAATCAAAGAACAATGACTAAGAGCAAAGATGAGTCATGTCAACTCAGAGATAAGAAAACACCAACTCAGAGATGACTCTATGAAAGCTCGACATCATCACCAAATAAGAAAACACTGCCTCAGCTACAATAATGACACTGCCAATGAATCATCACCCAATGATGAACTTTCTCTTGCTGGAAGGGTTTAAAAGAAGAGCTCCAACCAGAGAAAGTTCAGTTAGAGAGGGAACACAGTTCAGTCAGAGAAAGAGAGTTAAAAAGAGGCAGTAAGATAGTCAGCAGTTGGAGACACAGCTCCAAGGCAGTTGAGTTGCAGACGCCGTCACAGAGAGAGTTGTTGCAGAAAGCAGCTAGAGAGAGAGTGACAGAACAGCAGTTGCAAAGTTGCAGTCACAATCAGACAAACAGAGATCCAGAGAGTGAAACCAGACGAGTACCAGAGCAAGAGTGGTTCAAGAGAGGACGACTCAAAAAAGAACAAGCACAAGACGAAGTGCAGCAAACACCAGAAACCGCAGTCTTGGCCGTAAGGTCCACGTCACGAGAGAAGACATCTTGTTTACCTGGTATGTTGTGAGTCGCGTAAATTCGAATACCCCCGTTAGGCACCCCCTCGTTGTAGAGTTAAAAAATAGGCAATTTCCAAAATCAGGTTTTATAATTCTGTTCTAAACTTTCGTTTACGTTAATAAATGTCCTTAAATTGGTTATATCTGATTCTGCATTCTTCCTACTAATAGGCTCATTCCTGGACTTCGAAGTGACTCTTACCCTCGCGCCTTAATCACCCATTTCATCGCAAACGGCGGTGTGTCCGATAAAACACACCTGGTGGCAGGACTCTACCCAAAAAAGTACGTAAGAAATCTTTACCGCCCCCAAACCCCACAACTAGTGACAGGGGTGGGATTTGTGTTATTTTTCAACGACCTCAAAACTTGGCCTTCGACTCGTATTCAATCCGTTTTCTTGTGGTGTGTGTGTGTCAAAGGAAGGTAATAATCCCCCTAGCGGCGCCCTCGGAAACCGAGATGAGAGAGTTTAAAGTGGTGGTACTGGGAAGCGGAGGAGTGGGCAAGAGCGCCCTGACGGTCCAGTTCGTCTCCGGCATGTTCATGGAGAAATACGACCCTACCGTAGAGGATTTATACCGCAAGGAGATCGAGGTGAATTCGGCGCCCTGCGTCTTGGAGATACTGGATACCGCGGGTACCGAACAGTTCGCATCCATGAGAGATCTCTACATCAAGAACGGGCAGGGTTTCGTGGTCGTCTACAGCATCACGAATCACCAGACGTTCCAGGACATCAAAAACATGAAGGAACAGATCATGCGCGTGAAGAACACGGATTGCGTGCCGATTTTACTAGTCGGAAACAAGATGGATCTGGACAATCTGAGAGAGGTAACCCCCGTGGAAGGAATGGGGTTGGCACAGTTGTGGGGCTGTCCGTTTATGGAATCTTCTGCCAAAAATAAGTGCAATGTTAACGAGGTTTTTGCCGAAATAATCCGAGAAATGATTTACACACCTACTAAAGAAAAACAGAATTACTGCTGCTGTTCGGTTCTCTAATAACGGTCATAAATAATTGAATTCAGAATAGTTTCTCTGTTATATATCTGTTCAACGGAATCTGAATAAAACAGAAACCTGCCTAAGCAGAAAAATTCTTCAGAAAGGAGCAATTTCCTATGTTCAAAACAGAAATCTGCCAAACAAGGAAAAAATATTTAATATCATGTGATTCCAGTTTACATAGGTTTTACTGTATTTAGATAAGCAAATATATACTTGACGTACTTCATATATTCTAACCGCGATAATTATTAGGCTGCAATTTAGAAAAATTGTAGAACTATAAAGTATCACTGTCATTCGTCCATCTGTCTTTCCTTAATCTCAAGAATGAAATTAGACAGATGAAATCTGAGACCAGATATGGAAACCGTAGGGGCGGAAGGCCCCGATTAACTATATACAAACTTCTGATGCAAACCGAAAGACACGTTAATTTCAATTCAAAACTTTTTCCCAAAAAACGGTTAATAGATGACTGGCATGACTGTTATTAAAGGAGAAGTATGATGTACAGATGCTACAGTACTAATCTGAGGTGAAAAGCATATATTTTAAATTAAATAAATTAAAAATATGACATCATAATGCCGGGCTGCAATTTTTATATGTCACAATAAATAATTGCCCGTTCCAGCTCGAAAATTTATATTCAGAGAAATCATGTTACTTTTCGTTTTAAATTTTAATATTTCCTAGAATTATTCTCACAGAAGTTTTATTCTGTATAATTTTGTTTTTCTTGAATATAATTATGTTGGCATAAAGGATTATTTAAATAAAAACAAAATCCAATAAAAGACATTGCAATATTTTAATTAAATCATAGATAGTTTTAATCATTTTCAAGACTTGTTTCCTTAATAAATATGGAAATATTTATTTAATTAAAGAATTCATCGAAGATTATTAAAGCATACATAATTAATCAGTGTTTTTAAGAATATGTCATATGAAATAGAATCAAAAGTATTTGTTTGTGTATTCATCTGTATTTGTGATAAAGTATTTTTGTATATTTATATAAGTCCACAAAGAGGTACAAAAACTTAAGTCAGAGCTCTTAGACACAAGAGAGGCTAGACATCGAGATGCATTCCAAACACCCATGACTAATACACTCAGCAATATCTGCATTCCTGGTAACCCAGGGGCCGTATTCTGATCACTGTCTCTGGTCTCTCGTCTCTCACAAGTCGGTCGCTGATTGGCTAATCCAAATGATTAGCCAATCAGTGACTGGCTTGTGAGAGACGAGAGACCAGAGACAGTGACCAGAATACGGCCCCAGACTTAACCACAATAGACAATCCACAAATGGTAATCCAGCCATCGTTAGCATACACCTCTCCCCTTCGGTCAAACAGTTTTGAACAGTTTACTTTTAAACACCCTCGATACCATAATAACGAATTCAAAGCGAACAAAGTACACACTTCTAACCTTAGAGCAAAACAGGTATCTTCAACTGCCCCTATAAGGCATGATCCTGCTACACCCAGTGTTTCCCGTAGTTTAAACTCTCCACAGAATTGGAGAGGATAAAATACACAGAGTTACTTTTCATTCACTCACCCAACTGGATAGAACAAGATCGAAATTGGGATCGAAACAAAGGGAATAATACTAAACATCAACCAGTGATGATTATATCAAGCGAGGTAGTTTTACCAAACGTAGAATGTTACATCTGTGGGAACAGAGGACATTTCGCAAAATTTTGTAGGGCTCGCACCACTATGCAAAGAAATCAAAGCATAATGGGACCAAGATACGTCCAATCAAATAATCTTCCAAAAAAATGGGGTAGTGACCCCTTCCTCTCGGAGAAACGGAAGGGACGCTCAGTAGAAAATCAGTGTTCTCCAAAAAGAAGTAAAATTAGTGTTGAACCTATAGTTAAATCCCCCAATTTGCTTAAGCTACAAAAAACAAATAATAATCGAAAATCACCTATAGTGTTAAGGAATGCACAATATCATTTTAAGGAATTAAAGGATCTAGTTGCAGAATGCGTAGTCGAAGGTTCGAAAATTTTACTTCTGATAGACACAGGTGCAAAAGTTACACTTATTTCTAAAGTTGTTCTGGCCAAATTAAGTTCAAATCCTCCCAAATCAAGTAAACCCTTGATCCCAATCCATGGAATCACAGGGCATAAAATACGTAGTGAGGGAATTTATGATCTCAGCATCCGATTAAAAGACCCTTACGTTTTTCACATCCATGCTATGTAGTTGAGCCCTCTATCACAAATCCCTATGAGGGAATGTTAGTTAGGAAAGGTCGAGACTTACTTGAAAGGTTTAATATTTATGTTCTCTTCAGCCAAAACAAACTTTTCCTAATAAGAAAACAGAAAAATTTTATTGGGGAAAATCAGAAGGAGATCTTTCTCAAAGGAATAAAAGTGAAACTCACCGGAAAATATCTAAATCCAAATTAAATGAAGTAAAGACTTCAAATTTAAAAAAAGCGTGAACAAAGGAATAGGAGTGACTTTCCTACTGTTAAAGAGAGGAGAGCTGTCAGACTTGTTAAAGACTGTACTCTTCCCTCTAGATGTGAAGTGATTCTACCTGCAAAGGCCAGAAATAATTTTAAGACTCAATAAAAAATAACTGGAGTGATGGAGCCAATTGACTTCAAGATCAATGGTATCATAGGAGCTAAAGTGTTGGTCACAACAAATCATAAACGAAATCTCCATCATGATAGTAAACATAAAGGACACCCATTTCAAATTGGAGACCGAGTTTATGTGAATATCACGCAACATCTCCGTGGAACAATCAAAAAGCTTTCACTGCGATGGAAGGGACCCTTTAGAATCACGAAACAACTTAGTCCTGTTAATTTCGAGGTGCAGGATATTAAAACTAAAACAAAACTTCAACTACATGCAAATAGGTTAAAACCTGCTGCTGTGGGAAATGGAATTAACCCAATCCCAGAGGATAACCTAGAAGGTACGATAGTAGATAACTCACCAGAAACATTAGGTCATCAAGATAAGAATAAGGAGAACAGTGACAGCAGCGTTGCCAGATTTGGCTACTTTGCGCCAAATTGGGCTACTTATTTTTCAGTTTGGCGTTAAAAAAAGCATTTGGCGCACTGGCTACTTTTTGGGCTACAAAAATTTGACTTGGCTACATTTTGGGCTGGTTACACAAATTATTTCATCCTTTGTTTTGCGCACAGAACGGTAATACTTGTTGTGCTGTCTACTTGTTTTGTTTTTAAACAAAGTATAATTTATCTAAGTTTTATAATTTATTTATTATTGGTATTAAAATGGGAAAATGGACAAAGTATTCTCGGTCCTTTCGGAAAGAATGGCTTCAAGATAAAAATCTTAAAGGTAAGCACCTTTAAGATTTTTTTCTTGAAGCCATTCTTTCCGAAAGGACCGAGAATACTTTGGGGAAATTTTCCTCATTAAGTTGCATTTTTAAATATTTTGGCAAATGGCGTAATTTTAAATTTACTTAATTAAATTTAAACTTTTTAAAAAGATAGCTCCAGTAAGTATTCAGTCATGCTTGACAGGAGACTTTTTAGTTTATAATAGCTTATTTTTTAAAGAAAATTTAATATAAATTCCAGATAAATGATATCCTAGAAAGAAAGAAATAAGAAAAGAAAATGCATCTATAAACAAAAATGACTAATGGTAAATGCTATGCTATACGGAATGGTACCAAACATGGTTACTAGGGCGTAATTTTTATAAATTTTAATTGTTTTTGATAAAATTAGTAACAAATAACGTTACGCTAATTGCAACTGTTTGCCAATGTCAGCTTCTTGTAAATGTCTTATATAGTGTTACATGTAACATACAAAATTCATATATTACAAGAATGCTATTATTCCTCAACAACAATCAAATGAGCAAAATGAACATGAAGTACTAAAATTTGAAATTATCACGTTGAAAAATCACTGGTAAGATCATCATCATCAGAATCTTTTTCACTAGAATGTTTTTGTATGGTTGAAGCAGATGATGATTTCCAAGTTTAACATTTATTGCTATAAGAACTCGATTTTGTAGTTTAGTTTTCATTAAATTTAATTGTAAAAAAAATACATTTAACTGCTGCATTTGAATGAGAAAGCAATAAAAACATCTATTTACTGTCAAAGTAAAGTAAAAAAATACAGAAATATAGAATAAAAATGAATGTTTTGAAAGGAAAGGTATTAAGATTTCATGAATGGTACTTAGGAAAATGGTGTTGGGTTGAAAGTTTATCTTTACCAAAGAAAAACTCTTAAGAAATATTTTGATAGACATCTAAATTGTCATAATTTTTACTTGGTGCAATTTTTTTTTTACATTTTAGATGTTTTTATTTGGATATATTTATTCAAGTTTTCCTTTAATTTATTATATTTTACGAAAAAATATAAAATCAATTTCTAGAAAAAAATATGGAATACATTGAATTTCGGAATTTAAATGTATAAAGATGTTGATAATATTAAATTTATTAAAACAATACTTCGTTTCAAAACGGTTTATTGAATATTTAAATTTATAATTTTAAATAAAATACTTAAAATATAAGTTTTTGAGATTTCAAGATATGTAAAATTGAATATGAAGTAATTTTAATTATTTAAAGCTATTAAAAACGAAAATAAAATCCAATTACATATTATAAGAGTAAAATTATTGTTTTTTTATGTGTTCAGTACTTCGTTATGCTATCGGGTTATTCAATTCTAATAAAGTCCCAAATAATGAAAATCACTCTTTAAATTTCAAGGCATTTTTTATTAACTTCTTAGTTTTCTTTTTTATTATCTTTACTTTCTATCTACTTCAGATTATATTCTCCCTTAAATGACTGTTTTTCGTTAATAAAACTTCAACTTGCTCTTTTATGCACTTTCCTGTTCCTTCTTTGCCTTTTTCTGTTGAATATTACGTAAACAACTTATGGCAACAACAATAACCACTAAGAACGGTAGAGGTGTAAGAAAATTCCAAACGCTGTACATCTTCCATATTGATTTACGTATACAAGATCCATTTCTGAAAGATAATAAATGAAACATAAATAACACGTCTAATTAGTTTTAGAATGTAATTAAGTAATAAAACTGAAAAAATTTAATAACAATGTATTGTAAGCACTGCTCAAATTTTAATAAATAATTAGTATCTAATTAGAATGTAGAGTTATATTTTAACATTACTTTAAGAAACGATAATAATCTA